TGATGAACATCCCTGTTGAAAGTACTTTGCAGCCTGATTTTTTAGCTTAGATAAGCATGTTGCTCGTCTGCGTATTTCGGTTCCTGATCACATAGCTTCACATGCAGATCACATAGCTTCACATAGATCACATAGCTTTTTTCACATGCAGATATGCGTAGCGTATATGACCCCTTTTGCTACCTGAATTGTGAGGCAAGTATTGCTCAGGGTTGTCACTTCATGCACAGTGAGCTCTCAGTTATTGCATAATCGTCATTAAGAGCTGCGGTGATTCTCGCAACCAGTAAGTGCATGCAACAAAACAATATTTCATCTCGGCCACGTATCACTTATCTGCTTTGCTGGGAGACACCCTATGATTATTATTCTCATTCATCGCCCACAAATGGCCGTCTCAAGTCCAATGCTGCATCTGCATGGACCCTACCCATTACGTTCAAGTGGTCATGACCCAGTAAGAGACCTGTGTGCCGTTATGTGTGTTGAGTATGCATGAAACGTTCATGAAATGTTAGTGTCAGACACGACAAAAGCTATATAAGCTAATTGATGTAACGTTGCACCCAACATGCGGTGTGGAGACGGTGTGGCACCATACGTTGGTTCGTTCGTTGCCGCTTTTGATGGAATTAACAGTGGAGAGCCGTTGGAGAGCACACTGGTTCCTCTGAGAGCATATATATATATATATATATATATATATATATATATATATATATATGAACATGCATTATTTGCCTTGTCATCGAACGAATGTCATACGCAGGCATATAGAAAGCTAATGTAACCGGTTATCTCCAAAACTGTTGTCACCGATATCAACTACGACGAAATTGGTTCTGGCGTTAAGGGATTCCTCCTCGGATTGGAATCGGAGAGGACACAAAGGTGTGCCGTGTTGCTAAGAGTCTTAAGTCAGAATCAATGCCACGCGCTGCGAATCAACGCTAGAATCGACTCTGCCGAAGCAGAATCAAGCACAAGTATATTTACCACACCGAGCCCCTCCAGCGCTCTCCATCAGCGCTGATCTGGTGAATTGACAAGCACCTGCGACCCCAGTGAGCTCTTCTCGAGGGCCTGCGGCGGTCGCCTGGGTTGGCTCTGTCATGACACACGCCGCCGCGACGTGCGGGTCTCGCCCTCATCCCGCCGGCTGCCCCGCACAGCAGACGCCGCGCTGACGTCACCCGGTCACGCGACGGCCTCTGCGTCACGCCTGGCCTACGCGCGGGCGCATCCAACAGCAAACAACAGTGTGTTGAATAGGTTGCTGGGCCTCCAGGATTGGAGAGCGGCGGAACTAAGGAAGACGTTTCGACTAGCAACGCTGTCGGGGCGCTATTGAGAAACTGTCTGACCAGGATATGCGTCACACAGTGACTGTTCTGTGGAGTTGGTGATGACGGTTGAGAGCGAGAGCAAGTTGACCACTTTCATTATGTCACTCATTGCGTTCACAATGTCACAGGCCACTCACCAGGGCGAAGGGCCCCGGTTTCCTCTCAGAGTGTCAGTGTGTCTGTTACTAGTTGAAAAGCATCCACTGGTCATGTAGCATCCCTGGTGAATGACAGGGTAACGATACGGTCTTCCGCGGTCGGTCCTCCGACTATCCGACGCGACCACACGTCCGTGGTCTGTGACTGGCCTACAGTCTGGCAGTCTGGTCAGTCTGTCTGCCGGAAGTCTAGCCTCGCACGCATGGCCGCCCGGCGCCGGCAGAGACGCGCTGGTTCTTGTCTGGTGAGCCGCGGCGTCACCGCCGCCCCCCCCCCCCCCCCACCTGCCCCGGGAGCCAGACGGTCACCCGGCACTTCTCGCTCGGCGCGTCCCCGGACTCCGCTCCGCGGTGAGCCCGCTCCAGCCGGCCGGGGACCGGCGCGGCCCGGGCCGGTGTGTCAGGTCGGGTCGGTGGCGGCGCGAGCGGAATGCGACGGCCCCCGGCCGGTCTTCGAGCGCCACCGGTTCGGCTGGCCCGCGGCCGGCGCCGGCCGCCTCGTGCGCTGACCCACTTCCCGCCAGAGCCGGCCAACTACGCCCGGCCGTAAGGGCGTTGTCGCGCCGGCGATCGGCGGCGGAAGCGACCCTGCGGACGGCGGCAGATAGACGCGTGCGCCCCAATCGCAGTTCGGCCCGCAAACAGGTTCGGCGGCTGGCCGCGCGCGGAGGACGGCCGCGGCGGGGGTGCTGGTGCGGGCAGCTTCGGTGGCCGGCAGACAAATTGGCTTCACTGGGGGGGGGGGGGGGGGGAGGGGGATGTGAAATGAACTGGTGAACAGGAGGGCGCGCGGCTTGCTGTCTGGACCGAGAGCCACGGCGATGTTTGTTTTGCCGACTCGTGTTTTGCACCTTAACACTTGTCGAGGTTCGTTGTCGAGCGGTATTGCAGCCCGCAAGCGTCGGAGATCCAGAGACGTAGCCAGGTCTCCGCCCGGGAGAAGTGCCAATTGGCGAAGAGGAGCCTCTACATCCAAAGGGGCCCTGTAATCGTCGCTTGGGCACTATTCATTCTGGAGACTTTGCATACTCGAGAGCCAATTTTGATGGCGCGGGCCTCGTCTGTTATCGTTAAAGGTGCCTTACGGGTGCCTTAGACTGCCAAAATACTGGGGTCGTCGCACCAGGAGGTGCGACGACTTCAGTGCGACGACCCCTCCACCTGAGGGGTAGAGGGCCGTGGTCCCAAAAGCGTCTCCCTTGACCACGCCACTGATGTGACCTGGCCTGCCCACACGTGCTAGCAGCAGATCCATTTTGCATTGGCGAGGGTTGCAAGGGTCTGGAGATCACGGGTGCAGTATTGTTCCAAAACTCAAGGACCGAAACCCGCTCGTACATGGAGTCTTCCAATGGACAACCGCGCCGCTCGTGCTGAGCTTTCACAAAACGCCGACGGCCGTGACCTGCCGCTCCTGCTCCCAAAGCTCCACTGGGGGGCAACGCCACCCACGACGGCGGCGTGCGGTCACAAAGCCGAGGGAAGCTGGCCACCATGACTCGTGCCGATCGTGTCAGTGCAGCGGACTTTCACAGGCGGCCGCACTGGCCGCGCCGCCAGCCCCGGGTGGCGGCGCGGTCCGCGGCGCCGCCGGACTGAGAGCGCCGCGGCGGCGTCTTTCTGTAGCGTGCGAGCGCGCCGGCCCAGGTTCGCAGGCGGCCGGCGGGTCCGTCAGCGGAAATCAGCACGACGGCGGCACGACGCCCGGTGAATGGCATTGTCGCGCCGCCGCTGGGAAGGCGCGAGGAAATACCGGCCGCGCCGCTGTCGGCCGCCCGGCCGTCGGACGGCGGGTGCTAGCGCTGGGAGCTTCTTCGGGGTACATTTTGAGTTGAAAATGAATAAGAGGGTGTTGTAAATGGCGCCAGGCGCTTTTCCGGCGTAAGGGCACGATAAAAAACGTTTTAGCATGTGAAGTTACCGTCTTTTTCTCCGTGGGTAGCCTCTATGTCTGACCCTGCAGCAGTGGTATGTCATGGCGTATTGGAGAGATTCAAAACACAACACTCGTCGAAGTGAGCATACGACCTTGTTTCCTAGTCAACGCTTCATCATGCATTCTAGAATACCGATCTTATCCCGGGTAAGCTGCAGGCGCAATGAATGGGCTCAAGTGCCCCTGGCGGGAGTCCTACCCGAGCGCTCGTGATTCCCTGAATAGGGGTCCCCGAGCGGACAAAGTCGCGCATGCCGCTCCTGGACGGACATGCATCAGAGCCGCAGTTTGACAGCCACCAGAGGCTTATGTATTAACCTCCCCACCGCCAGACCTGCGCGCCTCGAAGCCTCTCCAGCTGGCTGGATGAATCTAAATATGCGTGAGTCTGATGGTACGAAAATAGCGTGTAAGTCGTGTGCAGTGTGCATGTCTTAAATTGCGAGATAAGCCCTTGGCGTGAAACGCGGCATGCGCTTATGACTTGTTATTAACCTGGTGCTGGCTCAAACAGGATGACGTGCTAACCTCCGCACCACCCGCTTACACGCACTTTATCCCCCAGACCTAATCGTCTTATCTTTGCTAGGATGTGGTCGTACGTTGAGCCAATATCGCTGTAACCGCCATGATCGCGTACCGATAGCCTAGTGTTTACGCGGCTCGTCCAGAAAACCAAAGGTGCGGGTTCAATTTCCGCGGCACATACCATACCGTCCAGGGATGAGAGGAACGCGATGTCATATGGCCTCAGCAGCTTAGTGCGTGGTAAAGTCCCAATAACCCACTATGACCATGTCAGCTTCACCTCTATGGCCATGTCAACGAAAGTAATAAATTTCCGGGTTCATTTCGTGTCTAAATGCGGCACGCCTACTGCGATGCGCTTGAGACGCTGATATAAAAAGCGCATTATAGCTACTGTGTGTGCCGTTAAGTAATAATTTGGCGCAAATGAGTGGAAAGCTAAAAACAAAATGGTGGTCGGATGTGTCCAAGGACTTGGAAGATTGAAGCCCTTTCATGGGCCATCTACTTTTGACTGAACACCAGTTGCCTTGCTTGATTAGTCAAGTACCTTGCTTAGTGCTCATTTGAGTGCAGTTCCGATACTTGAATTCGACAACCGTCGGTGAGGGAAATGACAAAGCTGTCTGTTTATCATGTGCACTTCATTCTTCCATGCTTCGATGTTTTAATGACATCTTACCAAACCCCGCGGATATCGCTTCCGCGTCAGACTTCTGAACAGGAGTGCAAGGCCTAAAGTGATCTCCAGTCACTGCTTCGGAGGCACTGCGCGTGTGCTTCTAATGCTTCTCACGCCAATATGTCCGGACGAGTGGCGGGCGGGTTTGAGGAGGTGAAAACCCGACCTATGACCCACCACACCGGGGCCGTGATTTATCACCAGTTAAGCAGCGGGAACCGCCGCCATCGATGGCCGCCTCTCCTTTTCAACGGCCAACAAGGAACGGAAACGGAGGCGGCGCTGCGTTGGATGCCTGGGCCGCAGCTACCGACCGTCAAAAGTAATGACAGTTTTTGTTGGTGTTCCAGATGCGAGCAGTTAGTGACGTCGGCAGTGCCTAGTGACGTCAGCAAACTTAGTGACGTCATCAGCGCAGACATGGAGTACGATAAGGTGAGTTTGCCATGCGGTGGCAGTGTGGCTGCGAGAGCAGAAGCGGGGCGGGGTCGGAGGTGGACGGCCCTCCTCCCCGTCATAAGTGCGATCTAACGTTGGGCGGTACATGGGCGGTGTTGAATAAAGCGCACTTGCTGTTTCATTCTCTAAACTTAAAAATCACGGTTTTGTGAGGCAACGCTGCTGCTCTCTGAACTGAACCGACCGCGGACATCGCTGGGCCGGCTGTGGTAGGAAAGGACGAGCGAGATTTCACCGACTGGCAGGTTTTGTTCGACCCAAGACTGTTGCAGATTCGGTACATGACTGCATTGGACCATCGTGTCACTTATGGAGCGTCCTTCGTTCTCATCCTGGCATGATTTCATTCAGCTGACTGCTGGTGCCATTACGTGGCGTAATTTAGTTGAAAGGTATCACGTGATGACGTCATACCGTGATGAGCTCACTAACAACGGCGGCAGATGTCAGCTGTTGGAGGAGAGGCCTGATGCGCTTACGTTAGCCGGCAAACGACGTATTTCATGTTGTGACTAATTACCAACCATAGCCAATGCCTTGCGAAAGATGAGCGCCACAGTGCAGTGGCGTAATTCGCAATTCTCCGCTGCGGTTTCATTCATTCTCAAGACTGTGACAGCTTGCACATGCAAGGCCTAAGGGTCAGTGTTCTTGGAGCCGGTGCTGGCCCGCGTGCCGACCGTGCTGGTGCCCGGCCTCTCCAGGGTTGGCCGGATCTGCGAGCATTTCGCATGCTGCCCACCGGCGTTGAGTACTCAACATTGGATCTATCATACTTGACGTGAGCAAGACACGCTCTGAGATCCTGCTTTGCATGGGCGCCATATGACCATCGTAGTCGGTGTGTCCCAAAACCCAAATCATCATCATCATCCTGCTTTTCCGGCAGTGAGTCGAGATGTCTTTTCTAGCAATCATCAAGGTAGCCGATAAAACCAATGCTTTCTTGACTAGGTCGCTTAAACAGTACCTTTTGGTATAATGGAAGCCGCTTACTTACAGCATAAAATCTCCCATCTCACAATGTGTCCTATGTCAAGAGAGTCTGAAATCATGACACCTAGACACCTAGACACCATGCCACCTAGACACCATAGACACCTAGAAGCACGCCTGGTAAAAGACTCCCTCCGAAATCGTGCAGTTGTAGAGTTCACGGGAATCAGCAGTGAGATGTTACGACCCAGGCAGGCATTGGACGTTCCCCGACGACACTGATCTATTATCATCCTCAAGTTGGGTTGGTGTCATCCCAGGGTTGTAAATTATTCGGCACGTGACGTCACCCACTTAAGTACCCCACGTACAAGAAAAGACTTAGGCAAAACTTTTAAAGCTTGACAAATAACTCGGTTCTGGCGACAGACACTGGGAGGGGATTACGTACATCCAAAACGCCATTTTAAGCCAGCTCCTTCTCGTACACTGTCTTGTTGTTACATAATGTTACAGTTTACTAGGTATGACTGTTGCCCCCTCGCCTCCGCCGCCACCTCCCAGCCTCGCTTTCTACTTGCTGCAGCGCTGCTTCTCGGCTCGTCTCTGCGGCCGTGATCTCAGATGCGCTGCCCAGAACGGGTGGCGCGCGAAGCAGACCATGCCATTTTGGAAATCCGGGAGACCAGCCATTCATTCATGTACCTGTCAACGGCGCGTGTAGGCATCGCGAGAACATGCAAGCCGTTTTCAACAGATCCAACACGTAATAAGTTCGGTCGTTGGACTGCGCCACTCCTAAACACCTACGAGGCGGCAGTATCACTTCGTCACTAGCGACGCCCTCAAACCTCCCCGGATCCACCTCCTGGACGCGCCTTTGCGCGCGCACGTGCTTCTTGGGCTGGCGCACCTGCGGTGCGGAGATGGCGCGGCCCGGTCGGAGGCATTGGTAGTCAGGCGAGTGCGTCAGTGGCAGTTTCTCCTCGCGAGCCGCCGTTAGCCGGCAGTAAAATGGGGTCGAGGTACGTCGGTCAGACGGGAAGGACAGCGGCTGTGGACAGTCAGATCGTTTTCCCTGGCCAACGGCAGTGTTTCTGCGCACACAAGCGAGTGGCGGTGTTGCAAAACCTGCAGAAGCAGGCGGTGGGATGCGCGCATGGCGGCAAGTATATCGTGTCGGGAATGAGCGCTTTGCTTGACAGAAATGGATGAATCTCGCAGTTCCTAAGTGTTGAAACTGTATTGCACAGGCGTAAGCTGTGCTGCAGGACATGCATGCGAGCCCCTCAAGATTTGAGAACCTCACACGTTGTAGGTAAAGGCTTATGCAAAACACAATCTGCTCGCACCGGGACAATGCGACCGAACCGTTAGGCTCCTGTTCATCATGACTGAGTGCAGTAACGGGTGTTACCAAAAACCCACCAGCAGTTAGGCATTCATCCAACGGTGTTCTTTTCAACTTATGCTTTGCCCATTTTCCAAAGACGATTTATATGGCGCATGACTTCCTGGACAAATGAGACCAGCAGCAGCATCTCCTATACAGTAGACGAGGGCTGATGGTTATGGCACGAGGATGACTCGGTTTATTGGCCGAATGCCAAGCGCCGATGCCATTCCAATAGATGATAAATGACCACTGCCAATTTGTCATCGTCGCTTCAGCCATTATTCACTTCTGTGGTTTGTTACGCTTTTATAAACAAGGTTTGAGTTTATGGTTAAGGATATGCCTACCATGAACACGCTCTTAAATTCATATTTGCTTTCTGTGAGGTTCCATCACATGCCTTACCAGCAATGCTGTCTTTACTATTTGCTGAAAAGGCGTAAGAACTTTTCGCTCCAGTGATTTGCGAAATGACAGACTCGTGATCATGTCATGTCCATTTTAAAGCTGCATTCGCTCATGTCCGTGTCCGTGGCCCAGAGCCGGCGTCGAGTGCATAATTGTTCAAGACTGGAGGTCGGAGAAGCTCATCTCAGGCCGGAAAGCATCCCAGGATGCTACAATGCAGAAGGATACTCACCTTTTATCTCTTGACGAAAGTTTTATGCGCTCTTCTTGTCCCTGGCCAAATCACCGGTCCGCACCGCCACCAGCAGACAGCACCATCACCGCCGGTCCACACCACCACCACCGGCTCGGACCACCACAAGCGGCCGGCACCACCACCAGCGGGCCGCACCACCACCAGCGGTCCGGCACCACCACCAGCGGCCGGCACCACCACCAGCGGCCTGCACCATCACCAGCGGCCTGCACCACCACCAGCGGCCGGCACCACCACCAGCGGCCTGCACCATCACCAGCGGCCTGCACCACCACCAGCGGCCTGCATCATCACCAGCGGGCCTGCACCACCACCAGCGGCCGGCACCACCACCACCGGCTCGCGCCACCACCAGCGGCCGGCACCACCACCACCGGCTCGCACCTCCACCAGCGGCCGGCACCACCACCAGCGGCCGGTACCATCACCAGCGGGCCGCACCAGACCCGTGCCACCCCAGCGTCCCCTCCCGTGCTGCGGATGATCCCGGTTGGGCGCCCGACCGTGGCAGCCACCCGCGCGCGGAAGGTCGCGGGGCAGGCGGGGGGGGGGGGGGGTCACGGTCCCCGCTGGTAGGGGCACAATCGGAGCGGAAGTCGACCGAGACGTCGGCGACCAGAATAGGGAGCGGATAGGAGCAAGCTTGAATGCCCTTTTTCTCTGATCTACCCTCTAGAACCACTGGGAACGTAGCGCGTTGGCAAGACGGATGTCCCCAACATATCCTTCGGCATTTTGTGGAACAAGAGCAGCTTGCGTCTTCTCTCAAAGTATCTGTTACAAGGTTGTGGAAAATAATTATACTAAATAGGTAAACATTTTACAAAAGACTTCAAGTTGTATTCCTTTTGTGTATAAAACGCCTGAATTAGCTGAAAGAAATCAACTTTATTGCCCATCACAAACGGAGGAAAACGCTGTCGTGTCCCCTCGCTGGTAGGTGAGAGCACGCCTTAAACCAAACGCCACAACGGAGCTTGGTCGGGACCAATCAAAAGTATGGCTGAAGGAACTGGGTCACCATATCTACAGCTCACCTTTTCTTCTTCATCTTCGACGCAGGACTGGGTGACACGACAATGAGTAGGACCTCGCCTCGTCACTGGCCCACACCAATGCTAGCTGTGATCGACTTATTTAGGCTCTGCTGAGTAAGCAGTTTGTGTTGTCCCAGTCTTCCAAATTTAAGCGTCAAAACGTCCAGCGGTGAACTGTAGCACTTTTTCATCGGTGGCGGGCTGTCCGGCACACGAAACCAGAGGAGTTAGGGGCATTAACTCTGGTGATGGTTTTGACGGGCTGGTAATCATCATTCTTGGCACCGGCCACTTTCAGTTATATCTTCATGGTGCATCACATCACTATCGAACTCATTTAAACGGTGCCAAAAAACGGGGTGCTAATTGCTGTATAGATGTACTCTACTATTCTAATTTAGTTTATTTCACATTTCTTAGCAGGGAGCAACGTGGCTTTGCCACTCAGTCCAAATATTTCTCCTCGTCGTTTTTGCCGCGGCTGGGCAGGGGGGGGGGGGCGCTCCTTGTCGTCTATTCATAGATATTTGTGTAGGCATAAAAAAGATAACGAAAAATTATCTCGCAGTCGCTTAACCGATGCAGCATAACGTACACTACGTCCAAGCTGTGAATTGAGCCTCTGGTTTGAGGAGGAATGCTACCAAAATACTCGCACTCCACTGCACGAATTCGTGTCCGTCTACTTCCCAGCCTTTGGGACCTCCCCATGCCGTTGCACTGCTGCTCATGCGCAATGTACGTCTCTGCTCCGGTCTCTGAAGATCTCATGTCTCCATCCAATCTCGCCCTCCCCACCTCCCGTTCGCGCCTTTCTCCACTTGCATCACTTGCAAAGGCCACTGCAGCCCGCACCGCAGAGCCAGCCGCCTGGGAGTCGGAGCCCACATCAGCACCAACCTTGGTCAGCCGCCTCCTGTCTGCAATCAGCTGGTGTTTTCAC